TGCCCACTTTCACCTAAACCTTACTTCTTCGAAGACGGTAATGGTCGAGATGTTGCCGTAAACTGAGAGCGCTACGTCGACATGATCACCAACTTCTTTCTCCCTGAATTACGGGGGCGACGTGTTCCAATCCGACGTGTGTGGTTCCAGCAGGATGGGGCGACCGCCCACATAGCCCGAGCATCCATGGACGTTATTCACCATTTCTTCCCTGGTCGCCGGTTTCCAGGTTTGGCGATGATCATTGGCCTCCTCGGTCCCCAGATTTATCCATATGCGATTTTTTTTATGGGGACACCTCGGGGCTAGAGTATACGCGAACAAGCCCCGAACTCTGGACGAATTGAAGGGCGAAATTCGCGTGGAAGTCGCCCAAGTTGAGAGAGCGATGTTGGCGAGAGCCTACGCGAACTTCCAAGAACGCCTCCAGCACTGCATCAACGATTTCGGCCACCACATGCCTGATGTGATTTTCCACACTTGACTGTCTCTAATGCAATTTCCTTGTGAACCTGATTCCATCAATAAATTTGTTTTCGAGTAAAAATTAACTATATTATGATTTTTTTAAAACCGTCCATCCTCTCTGCCGCACCCTGTATAAGTTGGTTGGTACCCAAAGCTGAAATCTGTCCAGAATGAAAATATTTCACACAGAACCATTTACCGAACAATAGCGGAGTGCAAGCAGGGAATACCATGTCTGAATATCGCTAAGCAACGAAGTGCTTCTACCTCTTTCTAACACACGTATTGCTCGCCATTCGCGCTTCTCTCTCCTACACATTTCGACGTCAGTGGCATATGGATTTCACTTTATATACTAACTTATGTAAATAATATTACCTCACGAAATCAAGAAACCTCATTAACACATTGACTGCGAACTGGGATGAGGATACCCACCTCAGAAACTGAAATGCTTTTTTTGGAAGCCGGCAGAGAGCGTCGAAAGACGCCGTGCGCCTCCCACCACAGGAGCGGAGGGCGTCTTTTGACACTGTTCGCACTGAACGTGTTAAATTACACTCCAAGCATAGTGGTTGTATATACAGATAATATCGCGTCCCCCTCATATTTGCATATCGCGGCGAGGCGTCGTCTGCTACCTGCCTCTGTGGGTCACTGGGATCCACTACCCAAGATGCAATAAGTGGACCCCCGATAATCCGGCGCCACCTGTAATCCGACATGTCTTTGAATATTGCATACATACGTTTTTGACAATCTTCGCTAATGTAGATCACGCAGGTTTGAACAGGTTACAACTTGTACGCGCCACCGCTATCGTGCTCGACGCGTAAGCATTGTTTTACTTAGTTTGAATTTGACTACTTGTGATAGCGGTACGGCCTAGCGTGCGTTCATTGTTTACCATTTATTCATTGTATATTAAGTATAGTACCTAGTAATGTTATCACAAACTCAGAAGCGAAAGCACAAAACATTGACAATTAAAAAAAAATCTGAGAAGACTGAGAGACAAAGCTCCGATCTCGCGTTATAACAACCTTAAACAAAAAAAAAATTGATGAATATTCCCAAGCTTCATAATTTGATAAATAAATTGATGATTTTGATTAATAATTCTTGATTATTTTGGTACATATGTATGTGCATTTATGCTTAATTTTATAATAAAACTTAAGCTCTCTATTGTTATTTAATTTACTAAATTCGTCATACATAAACTACAGCCTTCTACCTCCTAATTTTTACCCTCAAAACTGATAATCCTCTGAAATGTCAAAAAACGATTTTTATTTTTTTGTTTTTCGCATTTCTCTCCGCCGTTACTGGACCCATTTTCAAAGTCTATGAAAAATGTTCGTCCTTGGAAAATTTCATCCAAATCTGAGCACTACTTTCTAGGTTATATGAGTCAAGGATAGCGGACAGAGACCGACAGAAATTAGTTACAAGTTTTTTTCGTAATGTACATATCGTTAACATCCAAAAAACGTTATATCTCATTTTCGAAATTTTTCGTGATTACAATACTTGGAAGGAAGTTAAAATAAAAAATGGTTCTTAGGATATTCAGTGTTGTGCGTGAGAATTTCAGTTAGTAAGCCTCATTGTTGGATTCAGCATACCAACATTGATGGGGAGGAGAAAAATCAGTGTTTTGATAGGAAAATGTGGGTTTGTGTCTAGACCAAAGTAGCACTTGAACTCAAACAGTTCGCCTGAGAGAAAAACTAAAAGGAAACTTTTATGTACTATTATTTTTGATATGCAGATTGTTAAGAAAAATCTGCTTCTTCAGTTATAAGTATAAACCAGCAAATATTTTTTATTTTTTTGCATTTGTTTTATTTTGTTTGCGCATCTAGGATTTGGTTACAGGGTCTTAAAAATCACGTAAAATGAGAGATATCAAATCAAATACTCCAATAATTTGGACTACATTATGATGCATTAGTTAGTTGACTTTGCATTTTAAGATTCCTCGATCATCAAGATGTCATTTTGAATGAATATCGCCACTTGCTCTCAAACTATAAATGCGTAGCCTCTTGCAGCAGCACTACAAGATAGTCGTTCTGGCTAACAAATCAGCTGATATCTTTGTCTTCATCTCTTCGTGTATTTACCGTTAAGTTCTGCACTTTTCATACTTTTCTGACCAGGCAATCACCGTTTGATCAAGCACATTGAATTTTCCGCAAATAACTGTGATGTCTACATTTTTTTGGAACTTTGTATTTACCTCCAATTCAGGTGTTATATGTAGGAACAAATACATTATAAGCAGGATTTGTCAATTTATAAGAGGTCAACAATTGCAGTTTTACCAGATTTGGATTGAATTGATATTATTTATTATTAATATCACAAAATATATACTAAGTGACATGTAAATCCGAACACCCAGTTTAAATGGTTTTATTTTAATAAAAGTTTGTGAATGTATTTATCTTACTGTAAATAACAAGTGAAAAAATTTTCAGCCTTATCAGTTGGACATTCCGGTTTTTATACTGCTTTTTTTTTAATTCACTAACGCTCTAAAAATGAATATTTCAGCCGCAGTAAAGAATCAACGTTGGCGGATTTTGGTTCTTGACATCCTTTACGATCGGTTACGATGCCTAGAGTACGGAGACCTGTACGATTTCGTCAACTTAGTGAGTTTGATAGGGGCCGTATATTGGGACTTCGGGAAGCTGGACTTTCTTTTCGGGCAATTGCAGTTAGAGTGCAAAGAAGTGTAGACACTGTGGTTAGGTGTTGTCAGGCATGGCTTCGAGAAGGCCGTACGCAAAGAGCAAGGGGCACTGGACGCCGCCGTAGAACAACAGACCGTGAAGATCGCCGCCTAAGATTATTGGCCTTAAGGGACCGTTTCTCCACTACCAGATCCATTGCAAATGAACGGTTTGCAGAACACGGAAGACCTATTGGCATGCGAAGTGTTTACCGACGAATGAGAAGTTTTGGCTTGTTTCCATACCGGCCACACTGGGTCCTCCCTTTAACTCGAGAACACCGACGTAATCGCCTTGAGTGGTGCAGACAACGGTCACTCTGGGATCAGGAATGGAACATGCACAATGGTCGTGCCAGGGTTAGAAGGCGACGTGGTGAAAGGAGGAATCCACAGTTTTTTGTTGAAAGACATGTTCATCACACTGTTGGAGTTATGGTTTGGGGTGCTATAGCTGATGGTTCCAGGTCACCTTTAATCTTCATCAGAGGTAACATGAACGCGCAGCGTTATATCCACGAAGTTCTAGAACCCCATATTTTACCCTATCTTAACACCCTGGCAGATCCAACTTTCCAACAAGATAATGCCCGACCACATGTTGCAAGAGTCACAATAGACTTCTTTCAACATAACGATGTCACATTGTTACCATGGCCACCAAGATCTCCCGACTTATCCCCAATTGAGCACGTGTGGGATATGATGGGTAGGAGATTGCTCAATTTGCAACGTCCTCCTCAGACTCTAGAAGCACTTCGAGAGGAGTTGGTGGTTGCCTGGAATGAGATACCACAGGAGGACATTGACCACCTGATCAGAAGCATGCCTAGGCGCGTTGGAGAATGCGTAGCACATCAGGGTGCATCCACACATTATTAAAGGTCAAAGGGCTTTAAAGCAGTGCAATCATTTTGAAATTTTTATCATTTACTTATTATGCCTCGTTAAGTACTTATACAAAATTGTAATAAAATAAAACCATTTAAACTGGGTGTTCGGATTTATATGTCACTTAGTATATAATTACTCACGTTATTTAACAAAAATTAATCAGCAATTTTTCATTTTTATAAATATTCCATACTAATTACATTTCCTAAACATAAAAGCAGTAAATCAATTTAGTAAAAAAAGCTTTAGTGTTAAAACTGTTTTTTAGCGTTTATAATTACTTATTTAATTTAGCGAAGAACTGCGACAAAGAATTGTGAATGAATGCCTTCAAATTATGATCTCTACTAATGATGATGTATTAGTTTTATCTAAGCTTTAAATCAATGAATCTTCAAATTGAAAGGCCTTTAAAATAAGGTATCACTCGACCCCCCCTTTTCATTTAAAATTTTAGGGTTGGTGTCACCTCCGCCCAGGGGGCTGCACGTGTTAACGTGATTTTTTGGCAAACAAAATCGACGGGTCTGAGCGTTTTTCCAAAAAAAAAACTGAGCTGCCAGTAAATGCGTCTGTTTCGTTTTCGATGCGCCACCCTGTATAGGAAAACGTACTGTATAATCGGAAACAATGATTACCAATTGGTGGAGGTTTAAGTATAAAAATATCATCCTAGAAAATGTAGTCGTCACAACTTTATCTGAAGTTAATATTTGTTGTAATATCGTAAGCGGTATCTTAATTATCGACGGAAACTTCGACGATATATTTAGAGCCGTATTTAGAAAAGTTCCTACGGGTTAGGGGCTTTTGAGAGAATTTAGCTTGAGCAAGGGTTCCTTGAGGGAAGGCCTCTTGAGGAAAGTTTCTCTTAGAGATTAGTGACAAAACTTACTTTGCTTCTTGAAACCCTTCAGGCAGCACGTTCCTCTTTGTTATCGTGTGATTTCCCATCAAACCACTCATCAGCGTGTGATTCCTGGCTTGGAAAATAGAACACTTCACGTGAAGCATCTCTTTTCCTGTGGATCCATCGTCTCCAGCTGTCTCCGATATCACAGTTTGGTAATATATTGTTTTGCCCTGGAACAAATGAAATAATGTATGAATACGTGTGCAAATGCTTTAGATTCGTTGATCAAAACATTGTGTAGATCTAATTATTCACTAAAGTATCCGGATTAGATATGATGATATGTTTTATTTTATATTTTGCTACATGGTATTGGCTCGAAAACTTCCCAAACATCCGATGTTTATCCAAATTCAACTTTTTCTGTACCATACACCTGATTTACACTACTCGTAATTCAAGAACAGATATTTATTTCCAAGTAACAATTAATTTTTACAGAACATTCAAAAAGCATGATTTACGAGTATTATACTTTTTTAAAATTTTTCGCGATTATATTACTTTCTCACCAGTAGCGTGGAAAGTAAAAGTGCTAAGAATCTTGATGAAAATTTTAGGAAAAACAAACAAAAGGTTTATCAATCATTACTTTCCATATTCTCAAAAAGGATCTCATTGAGTAGCTTTCTAGAGTTCAGTGATCGCGGCATCCAAATAACTACCTAGTTATAGAGATGGATACGTTTTCGCTTTCAATACGTCGAGAACCAATCCTTGACGCGTTTAGCAGCAATCATTTTTATACGGCTCTTGCTCAAGGGTTGCAATTTGATGTATACCATATAAATATAAAATCAGACACAAATTACTGAGAGCGTACAGCGCGGATTCACGATTCTAGCGTAAATCATGCTTCCTGCTTTCTCATATAATTTTCACGAGCTCATGGTCGCATGCAAGTTGGAATACTCGTTCGTTGTTCCTTTGGATACTTCATGTAATATTCTCTGATGTGCAGAATGTTCAGTACTTGGACAATCCTCAAGGGGTGATATCTTTAGTCATTGATGGTGTTAACCTTTTTTGAAACATGAAATTTGTCGAATTTTCGCGTGAACAGATGTAACGTAAAAATATTAATATATTTTCTGTATTAAAAAGATGTCGCCCTTGTATTCGTCTTTACGAACATTTACTGCAATAAAGCTTCGATAATCTAATTTGTTTTTTTTATTTTTACGAAAACAATGCACTCTAGGAAAAAACACAAGAGTAATTATTTGTAGAAAATTGAAGGTAAAATTTGGAAAGCAAAAAACAGTGGCCCACTTGGAAAAATAATGCCACTAATCTTAGACTTTTGAGAGTGGATAATACTTAGGTAAATCCACATACCAAATTTTAGTTCATTCCCGTTGACGGTTTGAAGATATTAAACAATTTTTTTTATCTTTTTCACGACGCCCTCGAGAAAAAATGTTACATAGAAGATCCCCCTGAAAATGAGGTCCTATGTATGATGTTTCATTTTTGGTCACGACTTGTGAATCACAATGTATATTTAATTTCTATTTTTTCAAATTTGAATAGCTGCAAAGCACATGTTATTATCACATTTAGACATATTTCAGTTATCAATGTATACTAAGTGACATATAAATCCGAACACCCAGTTTAAATGGTTTTATTTTAATAAAAGTTGGTGAATGTATTTATCTTACTGTAAATAACAATTTTCAGCCTTATCAGTTGGACATTCCGGTTTTTATACTGCTTTTTTTTTAATTCACTAACGCTCTAAAAATGAATATTTCAGCCGCAGTAAAGAATCAACGTTGGCGGATTTTGGTTCTTGACATCCTTTACGATCGGTTACGATGCCTAGAGTACGGAGACCTGTACGATTTCGTCAACTTAGTGAGTTTGATAGGGGCCGTATAGTGGGACTTCGGGAAGCTGGACTCTCTTTTCGGGCAATTGCAGTTAGAGTGCAAAGAAGTGTAGACACTGTGGTTAGGTGTTGTCACGCATGGCTTCGAGAAGGCCGTACGCAAAGAGCAAGGGGCACTGGACGCCGCCGTAGAACAACAGACCGTGAAGATCGCCTTAAGGGACCGTTTCTCCACTACCAGGTCCATTGCAAATGAATGGTTTGCAGAACACGGAAGACCTATTGGCATGCGAAGTGTTTACCGACGAATGAGAAGTTTTGGCTTGTTTTCATACCGGCCACACTGGGTCCTCCCTTTAACTCGAGAACACCGACGTAATCGCCTTGAGTGGTGCAGACAACGGACACGCTGGGATCAGGAATGGAACAGTATTGTCTTTAGTGACGAGTATCGATTTTGTTTAGGCATGCACGTGGTCGTGCCAGGGTTAGAAGGCGACGAGGTGAAAGGAGGAATCCACAGTTTTTTGTTGAAAGACATGTTCATCACACTGTTAGAGTTATGGTTTGGGGTGCTATAGCTTATGGTTCCAGGTCACCTTTAATCTTCATCAGAGGTAACATGAACGCGCAGCGTTATATCCACGAAGTTCTAGAACCCCATCTTTTACCCTATCTTGACACCCTGGCAGATCCAACTTTCCAACAAGATAATGCCCGACCACATGTTGCAAGAGTCACAATAGACTTCTTTCAACATAATGATGTCACATTGTTACCATGGCCACCAAGATCTCCCGACCTATCCCCAATTGAGCACGTGTGGGATATGCTGGGTAGGAGATTGCTCAATTTGCAACGTCCTCCTCAGACTCTAGAAGCACTTCGAGAGGAGTTGGTGGTTGCCTGGAATGAGATACCACAGGAGGACATTGACCACCTGATCAGAAGCATGCCTAGGCGCGTTGGAGAATGCGTAGCACATCAGGGTGCATCCACACATTATTAAAGGTCAAAGGGCTTTAAAGCAGTGCAATCATTTTGAAATTTTTATCATTTACTTATTATGCTTCATTAAGTACTTATACAAAATTTTATTAAAATAAAACCATTTAAACTGGGTGTTCGGATTTATATGTCACTTAGTATATTTGGGAAGATTTTTGAGAAGTGTTTGAACTTTGTTCTTTTCTTGAGAAATATGACATAATCTCGAACTGTCAATGTATATGGGGAGCCGCATACACTAGTACTTTAAAAATACTACAAACCACGCAAAATTATATTGTCAGGACTATTTTCGTATCCCATGTACGTCAAGTTGCAGATTCGTTTACATTGAAAATGATCTTTTGAATGTTAGAGGTATTATATTTTTGGTGCTCTGAAATTTGATCACTCCAGAAACAATGTTCCTACCAGCCACGGTTACGAAACAAGAACTAAAATAAATATAAGTTACACTTATACCAGAGTGTATAAATCTGTTGGCCAAAAATGCATAAAGTTTGATGGTATTAGGTTGTATAATAAATTACCCCTAGAATATAAAATCCTTTCGAAGTATAGTTTCAAAAAAAGAATTAAGAAGTTCATTTTAAATAACTTTGACATGCTTGCATCGACTGTAGTTCGACTCAACCCAGCCATATCGTTTCTATCTAATGTTTTTATTTCTTTTTTTATATACATTTGCTCATAATACAGTTTATGACCATTAGCTATGCATTGAACTTGTATATTGTGTGACACACACAAGCTTATAGCTTAGGTGTTTATTCTTTTGTAGTAAATAATGCTGTTTGATATGGTGGTATGTTTATAGTTTTGATTATATTAATAAACATATTAAAGTTACATTGTTAGCCGTATATAGATAATGGGAGTATAGTATCAAAATACCTCCCATGATTCGTATACTTCCAGCAACCTATTTATTTAAAGTTTATTGCCGTTTGCCACCCTAGTCTATATTAGCGGTTGAAACGCTTTGCAACCTTATCACGTAAAAAATTGCATCTCGGAACGCAACCGTTGCAACCGCTTTTTTACGTGATAAGGGTATAGAGGGCAGACACGTCTCGAGTTTCTCGTTATATAAACAAAGTATCCACCAGCTATCATTTCAATAATTACCTTTGAGAAATTGCTGCATTTTCAACACGCCACCACAAAAGGGGGAGTGTGTGTATTTGTTCTAGGCAGAGCAACTTCCAAACACAATACATCCAAGTTTATATTTCGGGAGGTTTCGTACTATGAGCACTGATATTTATCATCTCAATAGTAAGATTATGAAAACAGTACTGAATATCATCGTATACCCTTCGACAAAGCTTATTAATATGTGTGAAAGATCAAGCGTCTCTGAAAATATCTAAAGTGGTATCAATTTTTAAAGAAGAATCTGTTGACCAACCCTATCATCGTCCTACAAGGTGTAAACGTATCAGTCATTATTGTCAAAACAAGTCAAAAAAGTTCATATGACCCATGGTCCAAAAGTCAACACATTTTTGTCTAAATGGCTATATAGTTTACAACTTTAAGTGATATCGACCACAATCTTACTAATTTTTATAATCTAATCTAAAACGTTTTTAAATTGGGTAATTTGTAATGTCCTTATTTATTTTATAATTATAAGTATTTTTCTGGCATATTTGCTCAAACGCATATATGACCCTCAAATTGATATTGACAAGTCTTATATCATGTAACATGATCTAATAGGACAATAAACTATCTATCTATCTCTATCTATCTAAGTTAAGCCAACATTTGTAGTCAGTAAGTAAGTTTCATTAAATTAAATATTTAAAACACACATGACTACAGCGCGTCGGTCATTCATCACTCTTATCGAACCGGCAATCGATCGAAAACGGTAACAGTGGTTAGTATGTTGTTTTGTTTTTGTTCGCGTACGTCGTCGTGTTTATTTAACATTGAAAATCCGGATTTTTTTAAAAACATTCTAGCGAACGACGAATGTACTTCGCGAGACGGGATATTAAATTTCCATAATTCTCACACGTGGATCCAAGAATCCTCATACCATTCGTGAAGGTCATTTCCAACAACGTTTTAAAATAAATATTTGGGCGGGTACTCTTGACGATCAGGTAATTGGGCCTTTCGAGTTACGCTCAAAGTCGTCAGGAGAAGGATACCTTAGCTTTCTAGCCAATAACCTACCACAACTTTTGGAACAGACCTTAGACAACATGCCATTTCAACGGAGACAGAATTTGTGGTTTCTTCATGACGGGGCACCACCACACATTTTTAGAGGCGACATTCAGTATTTGAATGAACATTATCCAAATCGCTGGA